TTAAAGTCTCTGCTATAGCTTTAGCCAATTCGGGAGTAGCGGCAGCTAAAACACGTCTCGACATCATATCAAAAGGACCGCCGGCAGGGTCTATGACTACACCTCCTGCTTCTCTAACTATCAAATCGCCGGCACAAACATCCCAGGCGTGTATGCCAAATTCATAATTAGCATCGGCAGCTCCTAAGGCCACCATGGACATATTGAGAGCAGCAGAACCCAAGACACGTAAGCTGAAAGAAGGTAGCAATTGAAAAGTTATTTTGTTTTTAAACTAAAAAGGAGTATCTTCCATTTACCCATGAGCTTTGGCGGACATTTTGGCAAAGTTCTCTTTTACCACTTCCATTTTCTCGGGATCTCTAGTGGTGCCAAATTCACTGGTTATTAAGGATTTAGATAAATCCTTTTGACCACTAACTTTAATAGGTTTATCATTATAAAATGCTCCTTGACCACGACGGGCAGTAAAACGTTGATTTAATAAGGGATTGTAAACTATAGCCAATTCGGTAACTTTGTTTACAACCAAACCCACCGATATACAAGAATGAGGAAAGGCATGTACAAAGTTCATGGTGCCATCCACGGGATCAATGATCCAGGTGGGAGCATCTGTTAGCTTTTTGGGGGCACCCTCAGCGCTGCTCTCCTCCTCGCCTATAAATCTAAACATGTAAAAAATTAAACATTTTTTATTTTGCAAAAAATAATTCTATAAAAGGAAACTATTTTATCTTTAAAACATTATGAAAACATTGCACAATCTTGTTTATAATGTAAATAAGTAGAAAATAGAAATGTACTTAAACATTTCCAAGTGCTACATTAGTATTCCCACAATGAAAACAATTGATAATGATTTTCTATACAATATTTTAACAAAAATAAACAATGAGCTCATACTTATGATCTGGAAATTGTTCTCGTATGCCATTCATCAACAACTGTTCCACCTCCTTGTCCGTCTCGGTAACCAAATCAATGTCACCCTGTTTGCAAACAAACTCCTGGCGCGTGTCATTTCTATGGGCTATTATCTACAACAATTGAAGAAAAAAATCAATATTTTTAATTAACAATAAATAATTATGAAATTATTTTCTTAACACTTACTGCTCCAGCTTTGTTTACTAAATCTGTTATGACTTCAAAGCACTTGTCTAAATTTACCGAGGAAGAGTCAACCATTTTCGTTAGATTTCTATAAAAAACTAAACTCTTAGAAGAGTTTTTATTAAATAAATTTGCTACAAATATAAACAGTTTGTATAGATTTTTATTAATATTAAGTACTTCTTTATAGATTTTTCTTTTCTCTCAACATTTAACACACATGCCGGCCACACACAATTCCTATTTCTAATCTAATTAGCAAAAAATGTATTCAAAAATATTCCATTTGTCAAAGTAGAAAAAAACAACAAAAACTATACACTAAATAGCAAGGCGAATTCACATAAGGTGGTATTTCTCAATCAGCTGATAACAAATCCAAGAATTACTTACCCGCCCGGTGGCAAAGGACTTCTACGTAATTGCCAAATTTTGAAAATTACTTTGCAGGAGTAGAATTATTCCTGCGCAACAAAGATGTATTCCAGGCAGAATACATTTTCTTCACATTTTTTTATGTTTATTTTTATAATATATAAGAACTTAACAAAAAATGTTATGAAGTCGTCTAATCAACTTTGTTAGGACAATAAAGTCGACTTTGACTATTTTCCGCAGTGACTCTCTAACTGTAAAGTTTATTTATTAAAATAGTTTTAGTTAAGTGATTGCAAACAAGTAGTCGTGTCTAGAAAGTGTTGCTAGTAATTTAAAAAATTAGTGCATAAAAACTTTACAGAATTTGATAAAATTTACATAAAAATAAAGCTAAAGAATCCAGCTTTCAGAATATATAAAAATATTGTGTGATAATATGAAATTCATAAAGAAAAATTAAGTGGAAACTTGTTAAATAGAATTTCTTGCTTCTTACATAGAAAAAAATGGCGGTAGTTTTTGACATTTATTTTAAACAGTGGCTTTCAAACGTTGAGTTCTATACTGTGTTCATAAAACTGTAACAGTTTGGTTACAATTGTTATAATATAACGTGTTTATCAAGTTTGAATTTAAATTTAAAATATGTGAGAAGTAAATTTGTTCAGCTATGACTTTTAAACTGTATGTATTTGTGTTTTTGAAAAATTTTAAACTGTTTGCTTTCTAAGGAGTGGTTTTTAAACTGTAAAACAACAGTTTTATAAATTTAAAATTAAGGAATGTGGAAAATTATTATAAAAATGATAAGAATATACATAAATAGTAAAAAAATAATAAAAATATATAAAATTAATAATAATAATAATCCTAAAAAATTATAATTGCAAAAAAATACCAAAAAATTTTAAAAATTACAAAAATATTATAAAAAGTTTTGAAAAAGGTTTTAATAAATCTCTAAAAAAAAGTGAAAAAATTATAAAAATAATATTAAAAAATAGTGCTATATAAAGTCTTCAAATTGAAATACTGCGGATAATATTCCACCCTTCCATTTCCGCACCAAATATGTTTCAATCACCGCCTTGGTAAGTAAACAAATATTTAAACATTTCCATTTTTTCTAACTTATGACATATTTAGGAATTGTCATGCAGAAAATAATATAGAAAAATTAACAATAAGACTGTAACCAATTCTAAAAACCATATATATAACTTTTCCATCTCTGTACCAAGTTTTGAAACATTGCCAAATTCTTTGGAATTATTTGCTTGAAAACATATTTTTATATATTTTATATTATATCTTTATTAACTTTCAATACATATTTTTATAATTTCAACAATAATACATACATTTATATATACTCATATATAATATTTAGCCTTTTTTCATTATAATTCAATTATCTTCATTATACACTTATTACACTCGTACATTTAAATCATAAATCAGTTTAAGCCTAGTTCACTATTTTATTAAAGAGTGATTTATTTTAGTTAATTCACAATAAATTTTATTTCAAACAAATAATACTTTATATACGTTTAAGTTAAAATAACTTAAAATTTATTAAACATACAATATTTTAAATATAATAATGATATGTATTCGTTGCTGGAAGTCTTAATTTAGTTCCGTTATTTGCCTTTTGAGCCAATACTAATAAAATAATATTTAATAAAAGCAAAATTTTCAAGTTAATATTTTAATGATGTAGTATAATAAAAATCAGTTAATTAATGATATGTTTTATTGAATATATTAGTTTTAATATTTTTTACTTATTGCACCTACCTGTTGTTGAAATATATCCTAGCAAACTTGTATCCAAATTCCAGGCAGTTGTTTAAGTTTTTAATTACACTTTCCATTTCATTATCCATTTTCTAACTATTAATATCCTTATAAAACTATATATTTAAAAATATTACATTCTCTAGCTCATATGAACCATATTTTCGATTTTTTTATGTGCAATATTGTAAATAATTGACAATATTTTGTTTAAAACTTTATTTGTTCCAACAGAACTTTTGTCAAAGCAAACAGAAGAAACTTTATTTGTGAAAGTGAATTTATTTAAAAATACCAGTGCAAGTAATAAAACTTGGTAAAAAATGCCCAATTTTAAGTTGCAATCCGTTTTTATTCTCAATAAAAATTTAGAAAATCACGTTTATTGTTATTAATCAGAACGTTGGTATCTTGAGCTTAAAGCTTAAAAGTGATCGTGCATGATAAGGAATACACACTCTCAATTTGAAAAGGATAACTAAGATGTCTCGATCACATGGTATCACACCATAATGTCCGCGGATATTATAACACACCAAAAAAATGTCATGGACCAAGTGCATAATACCCATGATACTGTGATACTTCTCATACAGAAGTGTATGGTAATATTTGATTAGGATTTCGGAAAGAGAAAGTTTTTCCTGATATAATTATTTTTTCCTTATTTTGGTGTACATAGGACATTGTGTCCTATATTGCCGGTCTTCAGAGGAGATCAGCAAAATTCTGGGGTATTTCGATCGCCATCTTTGTGAAATTAAACTCTTTCTTTATATGTGGATTAGTAGGCCATGAACGTAATAAACATCGTGACACTTTTGAGTGCATAATAACGAACATTATGACCCTTTGGAGCATCTGATGAGTTTTCATAGTTGGGACATTTTTCAAAAGTTTTTGGACATTTTCTGGATCTATACTATAAAATTTTTCTTATTCAGCACCATCTAATAAATACATTTTAGTTCAAACGGTCAATATTTTCAATCTCAAGCGGTTGAATGATTCCAATTATGTTTGTAATCAAATCAATTACATATTTTATCAAAAATTTAATGATTATAAGTTAAGCGTGCTAATCGTTAAAATTGTTCAACGTTCTCGGTTTTAAACTAGATCATACTTAAACGATTTTAACTATATTAAGCATTTCTAAATCTTAACAAATAAGTCCAAATATTTCACATGACTTAAATTTTAGCACAGCATTTATGGTATAAATTATGATATAGAACTGTGAATATCCTAAATATTAATAAACTACTTGCACTACAAAAAAGGGACAGTGGGATTAATTGTAAAATAAATAGTGATATGCTAATATGTTTGCACAATTCATCCAATCACAAAACTTGTAAAGAGAAAGAAGAGTAAGACTTTAACTACATCCAAAAGCCAAACATCTCTCTCATCACAAAACCAAGTTTTGCACTCTTGAAACCTTTGTAATGGACTATTTATTCTGCAATAAATCCCACTGTGCAGTAATTTATGGTTTATCATATCGATGACAAATTTAGTGTAGATTAATTGCTAAATTTACTAAACCAACAAAAACAAGTGCCAGTGTGCATTAGAAACGAAATAAACAAACAACAATTTTATAAAAAATACTATAAATTTTTTTTTAACGAAAATCAATTGCAACACCTACTAATTAATCGAATAAAATTAACAACAACATGAACTAATTTAATGTTTTTTTTATATTTTTTAATAGAATATAGTTTTAAGATTTTATTAAATATTTAAAATCATTTTGTGTACTTATGACTTAACATTAAGATAAAAAGTATATAAAAAATATTCAAATTTTTATTATTTTTAAAAACAAAAATTTTGTTAACAAATTACTTGGTAATAAACTAATAAACCAGAACACAAAAAAGGAAATTTAAAGTTTAACAAATTGAAAATAAAGAAAAACTAACTAAAAAAAACATTAACTACTACTGGACTAAAAACAAAAATTACATGCATCTACAAGATACGAGTTACAAATTACATTAAATAATCATTTACAAACATATTAACTAAACCTACACAAACTCTCTCAGCTAAAACAGAACAAAAATATATATAACATTATTTTAATAAATTAAATCACAACTTCAAAATGTTATAGAAATAAAAATTATAATAAAAACATAAGAGAATGTGCAATATACAGTTAGTTACATAATTTTAAGGTTAGGATTTTTGGATCTGGTTGGGATTATTAGGTGTGGTTTTGTGTATGTGCAGTTCTTAAACATTTAAAATAATTTTGTTTTAAGGAAAATTATTAACTTAAAGTAAAACTTAAACAACTAAAATGAATCATAGAGATTTACATAGAACTAACAGAAGAAGAAGAAAAACGTATAGTATAAGAAAAACTCCCATACAGAGTTGCAGTTTTTATGCTAAAAGTTTTCATTTTGTTTTTACTTAAATTTTGTGTGTGGCCTTTTGCTGCTGCAGCTTTTTGTTTAGTGTGTATATATTGTAATATATATATGACAATTTGTTTTGATATCCTTAAGCCTCTGGTTGGTTGTTTTCTATATATTGTTGGTTGGTTTGGTTTCTGGAATGCATGTAGACTTAAGCAAACTTACTTGGCTTCTTGGGGACGGTTGGCAAACAATTGTTCGACAATACTTTCATCAGCCAAAGTGGAAGTATCACCCACATTACGATCATTAACCGCTACTTTACGCAATACACGACGCATAATCTTGCCCGAACGAGTTTTGGGCAAACCGGGAGCATGTTGCACTACATCGGGCATAGCAAAGGGACCAATACGTTCACGTACCAACTTTTTCAACTCCGAAACCAATTTAGGATCAAACTTTTCATTTTCATTGGTGGTAATGAAACAATACAGACATTGACCCTTTACGGCATGAGGTCTGGCTACTACGGCCGACTCGGCTACACGTGGATGTTCGGTTAGTACTGATTCTACTTCAGCTGTTGACATAAGATGTCCCGAAACATTTAACATATCATCAACACGTCCGGTAATCCACAAATAGCCATCGGCATCACGACGAGCACCATCACCGGTACAATAGTAACCGGGGAATTTTGAGAAATAGGTTTCTTCATAACGTTCATGGTTATTGAACAGGGTGCGCATCATACCGGGCCAAGGTTGTGAGAATACCAAATAACCTTCGCCTTCACCTTTGATTTCAATACCACTTTCATCCAACAATGTGGGTTTAACACCAAAGAAGGGGAAGGACTAATAAGAAAAGAACATGGAAATTAAGATTTTATAGCCTAAAGTTGCTTTATATGTAATAACTTACAGCTGAACCAGGTTTCATGGGAGTGCAGCCGGGTAAGGGGGTTATAACATGACCACCAGTTTCTGTTTGCCAGAAGGTATCCACAATAGAACATCTTTCCTTGCCTACATAGCGATAATACCATAACCAGGCTTCGGGATTAATGGGTTCACCGACACTGCCCAAAACTCTATAATACAAATAATTAGAATTTTGAATAATGTTTGATCAGATATTAATAACAATAGCTTTCCCAACTTACTTCAAATGCTGTAATTTATGCTTTAAAACTGGTCCATCGCCGAATTTCATGAGAGCTCTAATAGCCGTAGGGGCAGTATAGAATTGGCTAACCTTATATTTGTCAATAACCGACCAATAACGATCATTGTCAGGATAGAAAGGAGTACCCTCAAACTAAAAATACATTTACAGTTAACATTAATTGAAAACTTTGGTTTGTCTACTGATGACACTTACAATAACCGATGAAGCACCATTGGCCAAAGGACCATACACCACATAGGTGTGACCAGTAATCCAGCCAACATCGGCAGTACACCAGTAAATATCACCCGGCTTATAATCGAATACAATTTTAAATGTGGTGGCAGCATACAATAAATAACCGCCTGTAGTGTGCAAAACACCCTTGGGCTTACCAGTCGAACCACTGGTATACAACATAAACAAGGGATCCTCAGCATCCATCCATTCGGGATAGCAGGCAGGTTCCTTGTCTTCCATTTCTTCGTGCCACCAGAAATCACGATCATCAGTCCAGGGTATATCCTCTTCAACGTGATTCTCTTGACAGGCAGTTACTCTCTTCAAATGCGAAACAACTATACATTTCTCTACAGTATGGCCCATTTCTTCGGCCTTCTGTAAAGCTATATCACACAAAGCTTTCAGGTACAAAGGTTTCTCACCACGCCAAGCGCCATCAGCAGTAATTAAGATTTTTGCCTTACAATCAAACATACGTTCGGCCAAGGAGTCCGACGAGAAACCGGCAAAAACAATGGAATGTACGGCACCAATACGGGCACAAGCCAACATGGCTATGGGCAGCTCTAAAATCATGGGCATATAAATGGAAACACGATCACCCTTTTTCACACCATGATCCTTTAAAACATTGGCAAAACGGCAGACTTCCTCCAAAAGTTTACGATAGGTAAGACCACGGGAATAGTCATCGGGATGATTACCTTCCCTGTAATATAGCAAAAGAAATAGAACATTTAAAATATATACAATTTATTTGGTGCTACTAATTAAGCCATAATTTAGTTATTTAGTAATTTAAACATCCTGTATCTTTAGCTTTTTCTTTATTATGGCATTTAAGTAGGTTTCATTTTTTAAGTACATACTTCAACTGCTAATTATCATACAACTAGATCACCCAAGTTTACTTGACAACAATTATAAAGCTTTTTGCCCACCAATCAACAAAATAAAGTAAAGACAATGAATAGAACATTTTTTCAACTAATTTACATGCATATTTATGCATTTTATTATAATGGAACAATGGCCAATGGAAAACTGAAACCCCTTGTACAATTACCTATAAAAAACAGTTCTATATCATTTGTAGATTTTAATTAGACATAAAAAATTCACTAACACAAAATTCCGTTTGTGTTTTCTTTGTACTACCCCTACATTGAACTAAGTGTTAGTTCCTGTTATCAAAATGTTTTCTGTTTGGCGGGAAAACATAAAATTTAGTTCAAGCTTAATAAGTGATCAGTACATGGTCATTAGAGATAACTTAGATAAAACTAATTTTCTGTCTGCGTATTTGGACTAGAGTGACTTTGACATACTCTTGACCAACACCTATTTACTTTGTTGTTTAAAACTTATTCTATTATATTAATGTAATTGTAATTTAATATTTAATTTATTATAAATATTTGTATAATAAATAAAAGTCGTGACTTTTGCAGACAGCTTGATTTTTTAATATACTTTTAGAATGCTTTTGCAAACTTCCTATTCTAGGGGTTAAACATAAAAAAAGTAATGAAATGCAATTATATTTAAAGTGTTAACAATATATATTATTTAATAACTAAATCAATATGTTTATGCTTAAAAGCGGAAGTTAAATTTTTTTAGAATCTAAAGCAAAGTTAAGGCAATATTCTAAAGTTTAGAACAACTTTTTCAATTTAGACAATAGAAAGAAAGCAAAACCCGTGCTGCGATTAGTGAAAGTAATACATTGTCTAAACCAAAAAAAAAAAAAAACTAATTTGAAATATTGCAATGTCATTTTAAAATGTGATTACACAATTAAATAATTAACATTTGTTGTTTTTATTTAAATACTAGCTTTACCCAGTGTGCTTTGCTACCCTTAAAGCAGTATAAATAAAAAACCCACTTAACGATTTTGAAGATACTAACTGCAATAGTTCTCTAAATTGAAAGCTCGCCCGTTATTCTCTAAATGTTCACATGAATGTCAGAGTTTTTTATGTAAAATTTTAAGATTCTAGCTCTAATAGTTTCTCAGATATAAAATTTTTCTATTTCATTCATGTGGGGGCTTCAAGCTCCCTAGATGAAAGTCCAATCTTTTTCCTCCAAAATATTCAGATGATTATTGAAGTAATTTTTGCAAAATTTGAAGAATCTAGTTCTATTAGTTTCCCAGATAAACGAAATTTTATATATGTCATATGGGAGTTGTCAAGTTTCCCATTGAAAGTCCGAATGTCAAAGTTTTTCAAGTAAAATTTGAAGATTCTAGCTCTAATAGTTTCTAAGATATAAGAATTATTCTTTTTAATTCATGTGGGGGTTTCAAGCCCCCAAGATAAAAGCCCGCCCTTTTTTCTCCAAAATGTTTAGATGAATATTAAAGTAATTTGTGCAAAATTTGAAGAATCTAGTTCTATTAGTTTCCCAGATAAACGAAATTTTGTATTTAATTAATATGGGAGGTACCAAGTCCCCCATTGACATACAGGAATACGCTGTGAAAATTTCAAGAAAATCGGTTCAGCAGTTTTGTAGTCTATAACGTTCAAACATACAAAGAAACACACATTCATTTTTATATATATAGATATACATATTTAGTGTATTGTTTAATGTAATAAATGTAATGAATTTCTCTATATTGAAAGCAACTGATACAGAACTAGTTCCGTGATTGATACTTTGGGGATAGTTATAAAGATGACCTGTTACTTTACAACATCAGTCTCATATTGACAGTGATTGCTTTAAGAATACTAAATTTAATTAGTAATAACAATAATAAAGAAATAATATTTTAAAAATAACGACATTCTTTATAACCGAAAACAAAACAATAAATAATTTCTTGTTATTAACAAGTGCTGATGCGCATCAATTTGAATATTTAGTAAAAACAATAACAAATTAAAATTCTAAATTCTTTAGTCCACAAAAAAAATTTAATATTTAGTAGAAAATATTAAAAACAATAACAAATCACAAAAACGACAGCTGACTAGTGATGATGATGAAGCTACAATCATTATCAGTCAATAACTTACAAACTTACTGAAAGTATTATAGTTAACTGATGGAAATCGATTAAAAATTCTGGATGTGGAGAACAACAGTAGTGAAAGAATGTCAATTTGCTTTACGTGATTACCTACTTGCCTTGACGGCTTAATCTCAGGATGGTCTTTTGCATCCACTGGGTGGACTTTAGATGCTTCACTACTCGCCCTCAAGTGACATCAATGAAGAACACTCAGGTGGAAATTTTTGTACATGACTCTGTCGGCATCACGTACGAGCACTTTGCTAGAGTATTCGACCTATTCAATCTCTTGTCAAGTGATCACGTTGCGAAATGACAGGCAGCATGAGATCAATCTCAATGCATACTTCGACATGAAAGATACAATTGCCAGACAGATTAATAGAGAAGGGTTCACATAAAACCCAACAACACTATATCTCGGACGCTAACATAAGCGATGTCGCACATTTCTCAACCTTTTAAAGTCCGCACAACCACACCACAAGGCTATATTTACAACAATTCTATTCTCGGATCATAAAGATCAATTTGTGGGTTTAAACCACACCCACTACGTGAACCCCGAAGGGACCTGACCAATGACTTAACCGAATAAGTCCAGATTATGTGGTACTCTGGTTCGAGTCCAGATCAAATCATTCCAAGAAAAGGCCGAGGATACCTTTGACACCACCAGCTTATAGTTCCACCAGACTGGAGGTATTGGTAGCACATCTATACCTCGGCATTGCAATAACACCAAGATAATGATAGGCTCATTAAGGCAAAATACTCAGGGTTAAACAGTAGTAAAAGTAGTAATGAAATAGAATACCATGTGTATTTCAGGGATGTCTTCGCAGAGATATACATACATAAGCATTCACGTCATTCCGCAATGAGACTGGCATGACAAGAGCTAACGTAATAAGGTCTTGCGATTCGTGTAACCAACTTTTTCAAATACAACTTAATGAATCTTCTTGATGCTATCAAGGAGAGTTTTATCCAAATTTTAGAATAGATCTTGAAAAATATTAAAAATTTCTAGAAAACAACAAAATTTCCTAATCATTAAACATTTATAAATATTATACATATTTAGCAAAATAATTAAAAACCTAAAACAAATACTTATCTCACTAAATAAAACCACTAAAAACTAAATAACATTGATCAAATAAATTAATTAATTAATTACTAGAGTTTGTTGCTCTTAAAAAAACCAAATAAAAAAATTCTCTCTCAAAACCGACGCTGTCAAACTTCATATAAAATAATATAACGAATTTGGGTTATATGAAATGACTTGATCTTATAATCGTTACGCTTTGAAAAAACCTATGAAATGTGCAAACTCATGCCCAATTCTTTAAACATTTTAATGAATCCATTTAAGCTCATTCTACAAAATGTAAACAAACTCTTCACGAGATGTTTGACACGTCAGTTGTCAGAAATACAAATAAATTATCATTTATCTTCTTAAATCCATAAATAGCTTTATGACAATTATTATCATAGATTGCTCCCCAAATTAAACAATTGTTGTATTATATTTATGGGAATTCGAATACAATGCTCTTTTCTGAGCTAAACTCCCTTAATTGAATATAATGCCAAAGATAAGAGAGAGAAAATCTTTTCTATTATGTAAATACGAATTAATTTGTATAATTTCTTTACACGTGTCATTCCTCCTTCGGCAAAATACGCATGTACAGTGAGGAGCAAAATGTAAACAAAAATTAAAATGTAATTAAAAAAGAAACAGTGAGAGGAATATTAATTAGTTTATTTTTAGACAATAAACAAAATTTATTAACATGACCAGCCCACTTTTTTTGTGAATAAATCAATAACTAAAAAAAAGTTATAGTTTTTTTAGGAATAACTAGATAAAGATTGAACGATTTCAAACATACGACCACGCGCAGTACGAATACAAGTTCAGAAACAACTACTTGACTGTTTAAAACATGTGTTAAACACGATCTGTTCGGTTTTGGTTAGATTATAAAAACCTATTAGAGTCATCACATTAGTTCAAACATTTCCCAGTTTAATGTAGGGTATTAAGAATTCGTAACTATTGATTGTAACACAATATTTACATTACTAGTTCTTATTTCTATTTGAAATTCCTTACTTTCTGATGATTTATAGGCTTTTTGTCGATTGAAACACTTGAAAACAACTTCAACAATTGTTTATTTTTAAAAATTGTTCAGCGCTTGATTGACCTGATATTTAAAATAGTGTCTAGAAAAATAACAAAATTAATTATTTAAATTTGAAACATTAAAATTCATATAAGACAAATATAAACAAATCTCCAATTTGTTTTCAAAAAAGAATTCCATTGGGAATATTCAAATCTCATTTAAAGTTTAAAGAAAAATTAATGTTTCAAATGGTAAAAAATAGAACAAATAAGAAACAGTATAAAAAATATATTTTGAAATTCCAAAAATATAATAAAAACAAAATTTGCAATTAAGAATGCGCAATAAGATTTTCTTTTAAAAAAAATACACATGTTCATAAAAAAGCTAATAAAAGGTTATCATATAATATTTGTAAAAGAAATCTTAAATAAATATAATTCACGTGCGGTTCTAGGGAGAGAGTGATAAAGAAATTCAATTTGTTTAAAAAATAAAAGAAACAAATAGTAAATATTTATGTAAAGAGTG